ACAACAACAACAACCACAACAACAACCACAACCACAACAACAACAACAACAACAACAACAACAACAACCACAACTACCACAACAACTACCACAACAACTACCACAACAACTACCACAACAACTACCACAACAACTACCACAACAACAACAACAACTACCACAACAACAACAACAACAACTACCACAACAACAACAACAACTACCACAACAACAACAACAACTACCACAACAACAACAACAACTACCACAACAACAACAACAACTACCACAACAACAACAACAACAACTACCACAACAACAACAACAACTACCAGAACAACAACAACAACCACCACAACAACAACAATAGTGACAACAACCACAACGATAATCCCCGAAACAACAACTGTAACATCTAATTATTCAAGCTATTTTTTTTCATGTAGTATACGTCCGTTCTTAATCATGCAAAAAACATTCCTCATAATTCATTCCTCCTGGTACATGGGACTGGTGATGGTGAGTATACCTGTCGTGCCTTTTGTAAAATCAATACTTTATAATAAGGAATTTTACACTTTACGGAAACTTGTCGAATAAGTATAGGTGATCATGCGATGGCGAGTACAATTAGGGATTAATAGTACAAGTGATGTTTGGAAGTTTTGCCAAAATTGGACGAGCCGTCGGGGCGAGTCCAATTTGGCAAATTTCCAAACATCACGAGTAGTATTAATCCCTAATTGTACGAGCAACATCGCATGATTACTTGTTTATTATTAGCATGACAAAATTGGATACTTATCAATGTCAACATCGATCATATTCTCTCGCCAAAGCCCAGTCCTGCCATACTTTCAACCAAAATTTGGTGCTTTTGTTCGTATTTTAATTTAGTTCTTTTGTTAAAGCAAAATTGGTGCTTTTGTTCGTATTTTCATCTAGTTCCTCTGGGGCAATTTCATTTCACATTTGTGTTTAAAATACGTTTCCGCCATTTTGCCGGTTTGTTTTGGGAAAATCATTAATTGTACTGCAGTACAATTAATGAAATAATTGTACTCCTCTCAACCAATCAGCATCCAGTAATTTTGTCATGCTAATAATAAAGTACGAAACAGACTCCGAACACAGGGTTTCAAACTCCAAGTATTTGAAAAACAAGAGATGAAGGCTTTCACAGATTTTGAATTTCAAGTGGAATTAACTTTTATTCAGAGTCTGTTTCGTACTTTATTTTATGAAGTTATCGCAGGTATATTGGTAGTGATGCACCGAATCGTCATATCGGTACTAAAATAGAAATATCGGTATCGGTAATTTTCTTGTTGATATTACCGATATTACAAACTGTTATTAATGATTGGTGATAGTTGCAGTTCAATAGTTATTTTTATTACAAATAAACAGTCACGCGTATAGTAATATGCTAGTTTGTTGCATGCATTTGCAGCATTTTCATTTGATATTTTCAGTATTTCGAAACAAATAAATTGAATTAAATTCAAAAGTGTTAAAGTAGAACTGTCATGATGTCATCTTTGCATTTTGTGAAATGACATAGAATATCGGTATCGGCAAAATGTCGCAGTCCTTCAATATCGGTTATCGGTGAATTTCACTGATTGTTGACGGCATTTTTAGATGGAAATTTCGAGTGGTATTTATATACATTTAAATATTGGACCTAACCATGCAGGAGCAGTTGTGAAAAATGTAACTAAAGGCCCTCTGACAGGAATCGAACCCGCGGCCCAGCGATTCCGGTACATGGAGCTGAGCTACAGTTGTCGAGCTCTAACCACAAAGTTCATGTATAAATAATGAGGTGATGTATGCAGTGCACGGTCTTCAGGTAAATATCATGATTTGGGACAGCTTACTCAAACTTAAGTTACAGCTCGACAACTGTCTCTTTGTATAGCTCGGTTGGTTAGAGCGAAATCGCAGGGTCGCAGCTTCGATTCCTACCAGAGGGCCGATAGTTGCAGTTTTCGCTAATTGCTCCTGGCTAGGTCTAAGGGAGCGGTCATTATTTATGGCGGGGGGTGGCACCGAAGAGAAAAGGGTTGGGTAAACAAAATTTTGAGTGAGTAAAAGGATGGGTAACTAAAAAAGAAAATAACTCAAGGGTTGGGTGATAAAAATTTATTGTCATTTCCAAAGCATGACTCACTCAAATTTTGGAGACTGAGAAACAACATGCAGTCATCAATATTAATATGGCAAGATGTCAACAGTCATATGTCAATACAATATGTGAATCATTCAGAGAATCAGAGTCACTATATCTTGATAATTTCTCGATTTGTTGGGAGGCAAATGGTGTCACAGAAGTGGTAAAGGACATGTGTGACAACTGAATGGTATTTATTGTAACGTTTTTGGCCGGGGGTGGGTATTTATTTTTTAATTAATATTTGAGGTTGGGTAATCAATTTTTTTACTTTTTAATGGTTGGGTCAGCAAAATTTTTGCCACGTAAAACATTTCTCTTCGGTGCCACCCCCCCCCCCACCATAAATAATGACCGGTCCCTTAAATGAATGTGTCATAATTCCACTCGAATTCTACAAATCCATCTACAAACCTTCAAAATTAGCTAGTATAGTCGTGCGAGTATTGAGTTGGTTCTCAGCATAGAGGTAATGGTCTTGGGATACATGTCTTTTGTGGTGGATTCTTACTGCGTGTCCTACAAATACTTGGTTTTCAGTTATGTCAATGCTTTTAGAGAATTAACATGGTTATTGAAACTTACGTTTTGTAGATAATGTCCATTTTCAAAACAGCGCACAACTGATTGAAGTTATGACTCAGGCTGGAGTAAAATTTGAAATGCAGGTAAGTTTGTTTCCTGCAATGCGGTCTTTTAAACTGTGATTATAACGAAATTCAAGCCTGTTTATGTAGAGAGAACTCGTAAAACTGTAAAATAAGTCATATTCGAGAAATTCTCCTACAAAATATATGAATATATTACCAATACATTGTTTCTGTGTCTTTTATTTTCAGATTTATACTGATAAACATCATTCACTCGAAGGATTAAACATTCACAAACATTTATATAACTTACTGACAGATTTCTTTAAAGATAAGTTAAAGTTATAGCAATATTATGTAGTTGCTCTGTAAAAATGATATATTTTTATACTAATGTTGTAATTTAATAACAGATATACCCATAATTTACGGTGAAATCAATGTTGAGTGTTGACCAAATTGGTTAATACAACCACATGCACGAAGCAACGAAGATGCATAGGAATGTTGGATGACAGCTTACCAATTTGCCGCGCGAAATTTTGTATTTCTTAATCGGCGTTCGCTCCGGAATTTTGTTCTTATTGCATGCATGGTCACAAATTTCATGCATGGGTTAAAATAATTAACAATTGCTGAACGAAGGTTGAGCATGATGTGAATAATTATCAAGCCCGAAGTTAGTGTTATCAATGGAAGCCGAAGGCCGAGGTTGATAACACAAACTAAGGGCGTGATAATTCTCATATCATGCTCAAAACATCCGTACCTGTGGGTTCAATTCGTCGAAATAATGACCACTTCTTTTTCTCATTGTCACAAAATCTCTCCTTTTTTCTTTCATAAGTTGGAAAACTTCTGTGTGCACCAGGGGTTTCAGAATAAGCCGGCGGCCGCCGGAGTTCCGCCGGCTACTTGAACTTTCCTGGTCCGGCAGGAAAAATTTTATATACAAAGTCAAAGGTACAAGCGAACCAACACGATGTTTGTTATGTTCCAATTGGAATTCAAACAAAACATCACTTATTTTGGAAGATCAATAAGATCAATAATACATAGTACCAAACATAGCTTGCTTTCTTAATTAAGTTGCTGTCGAAAAAACGATAATAATAAACATTCTTTGTTTTCTCGTCGCCATCTTGAATTTCGTAGCAAATGATCAGCGGCTCTGAATCTTCCTGAACAGGAAGATGGGTTATAGATTCATGTCTCGCTATTTATAATGCTAACCCTAATCCCCACCCTAACCGCTAACCCTATTAGCGAGACATGAATCTATATCCGGAAGATGGTTCTGATTGACTCTGACAGTGACTTAAGCATTGGGGAATCCGAATTTGACAGTGAGCCAGAGAACGAGTCAGATTCAGAGCTACTTTGGTAAATGTTTTTCAAGTGACTAATCCTTTGACAGTGAATTAATTATGATAAAGTGATGCTCTTAAATTAATACTAATAGTGTACATTGTCATTCTGTTCATGCAGCTGTAAAAATTAAACTACTAGTAGCACATTAAAGTACATCGTTATTGTAGTGTCTAGCATAACTAACATAATAAACATTAATTATGGACCAGGAGGAAGTAAGCAAGATGGCGATATAGATGCAAGTGTAAGATTATGTTCTGTTGGAGATTATTAAAGAAAGCATAGATAACAATGTTATAGACAACATTATATTGGCGACGAGGATCGTTTCATATACAAGTACCTCAAATGGCGACTAGCTTACCAGAATTTGCTTCTTTTGACGCCGAGAATCGGGAAAATATCGAAATTCGATGGCAACGATGGTTCATGCGATTCGAAAATCTACTGATTGCACTCGATATAAAAGACAAGAAAAGAAAACGAGCGTTATTATTATACTATATCGGTGAAAGTACTCTAAATATCTTTGAAACACTGCCCGAGACAGGCACAGAAGACGACTATGACGAAGCGTGTCAAGCTTTAAATGAACACTTTAAACCTCGCAAGAATACATCGTTTGAAATATTCAAGTTCAGGAAAACAAACCAACTTGTTGACGAAACTCTCGATCAATACCATGTACGACTCGCCCAGAAAGCTAAGTACTGTGAATTCTCAAACTTAGATACCGAGATAAAAGCTCAAATTGAGCTAGGGACCAATTCCAATGGCGATATAGATGCAACTGTAAGATTATGTTCTGTTGGAGATTATTAAAGAAAGCATAGATAACAATGTTATAGACAACATTATATTGGCGACGAGGATCGTTTCATATACAAGTACCTCAAATGGCGACTAGCTTACCAGAATTTGCTTCTTTTGACGCCGAGAATCGGGAAAATATCGAAATTCGATGGCAACGATGGTTCATGCGATTCGAAAATCTACTGATTGCACTCGATATAAAAGACAAGAAAAGAAAACGAGCGTTATTATTATACTATATCGGTGAAAGTACTCTAAATATCTTTGAAACACTGCCCGAGACAGGCACAGAAGACGACTATGACGAAGCGTGTCAAGCTTTAAATGAACACTTGAAACCTCGCAAGAATACATCGTTTGAAATATTCAAGTTCAGGAAAACAAACCAACTTGTTGACGAAACTTTCGATCAATACCATGTACGACTCGTCCAGAAAGCTAAGTACTGTGAATTCTCAAACTTAGATACTGAGATAAAAGCTCAAATTGAGCTAGGGACCAATTCCAAACAACTTCGACGATATGCTTTCCGTAAACCAAAACTGACTTTGGCTGAACTCTTAGACTATGGACGGACACATGAAACTGTTGAAGAAGATGCGAGCGGAATTGAGCAAAATATGAATGAAACACCAATGAAAGATATCCACGCCGTACGACGAAATGCGGCTGCTACAACGCCTAAGAAAATATGTTTCTTTTGTGGATTAAACTGGCCACATGTGAATGTTTGTCCGGCAAAGGGGAAAACATGCAACCATTGTCACAAGCAAAACCATTTTGCACGATGTTGTAAATCGAAAATTTCAGCTGGACAGCGTGAAAGTAAGTTTCCTCAGAAATCCAATGAACGAAGATCCCAAGTGAAACAAATAGACGAACAAGGTACGAATTCAAGCTCAGATGAATATGTTTACACAATAAAAAAACAAACCCCTGATACTAACAAAGTCGTTTTAACATCTATCACCACTTCACCCACAGGAGGAACTGTTAATGAAGTTAACAGTGACTGTCGAAAACGAAATTTCTACACCCATATTAAAATCAGTGGCATAACTATTCGTGTAAACATTTATTCTGGTGCCAGTGTAAATATTATCGATAATACTAGTTTTGAGAAATTAACACGCCAGAACAACATCCACTTGATGAAAAGCAAAATAAAACTTTTTGCTTTTGCCACTAACACACCCCTCGACATCAAAGGGTATTTCGAAGCTTCAGTTGAATCAGGAACAAAAATTACCACAGCCCAATTTTATGTGATAAACACTGATGCTGGATGTCTAATAAGTGGAAACACTGCAATTGATCTTGGGTTATTAAAGCTAAACAAAATTGCATTTGTTACATCTCGACCTGAAACCCATCAACCTAAGAAAAATGCTCCAACAACTAGCAAGTCTAGACCTAAAAGATTGAGAACCTTATTTTCGAAATATGATCATTTATTCCAAGGAATCGGAAAAGTCCCAGATTACAAAGTCCATTTACACATTGATAAAACTGTCCAACCCACAATTCAAAAAGCCTGCAGAATCCCATTTACAATGAGAACCAAACTATCAGAAGAACTGCGACATCTTGAATCATTAGATATTATTGAAAGTGTAACAGGCCCCACATCGTGGGTATCTCCCATTGTTTGTTTCCCAAAACCCAACAATCCCGACCAAATTCGTCTTTGTGTTGACATGCGTATACCCAATAAAGCCATTTTATCGCTTCCTTTCCTTAACACTATGTCAGCCATATATCCTGCAACGATTAGCTCTGTTTTCTGTGCGCGAACATTGCGCAATTGACCAAGTCAGACGGCAACTGGAATAATTATGGCAATGTGCGTCTTGCGCAACGCACATGCCGATTTATTAATTTTTTAAAACAATGAGATAATTATTAACATAACAAATTATAAACCGAAGTTAATTATTAAAAGTTCGCACAGAAAAGGTGGGGTAATAAATACGCCCACCATTTAGAAATTAATCTAATAACTAAACTAACTTACATATGTAATAATATTGCGTCAAGTAACGGGGAGGAGGGTGGGATATCAATTGACTTCAGCCAGAGAGTTGACCTTGCGCGACCAGATTGAAGAGTAGAATGAACTGATGCACATATTGCTGTAGATTATATCACCACTCCTATCCGCTTCCTGCGCATTACATTCATGTGACTACAAATTATCGGGGCTAATACCCCCGTGTCCCATTACAATAGCTCCCTATCTCTGAAACTAGATGCAGGAAGCAATAAAATCTTTATTGGTATGCCAATAATTCCTTTATCGCTTCCTTTCCTTAACACTATGTCAGCCATATATCCTGCAACGATTAGCTCTGTTTTCTGTGCGCGAACATTGCGCAATTGACCAAGTCAGACGGCAACTGGAATAATTATGGCAATGTGCGTCTTCAGGGTCGTAGCTAAGGGGGGTGCGGGGGGTGCCGCACCCCCCCAATGCCGTGCAGATGATTTAAAAGTATGGACAGTAGCAAGCAAAAACGCAAACGGAAGAGAGAGAAACTGACGTGTTTAGTTTGTAATTGGTCGTTTGATGACGATTGGATGTGCTTTTTTGAAATTTATACCATGTATTTTAAGGAACTATTTCGCCTATTCTAAAAATAAATTATCTTTCTACTCGGATTTCATCGTTGTACATCACTTAAAAATGAATACGGTTAGATTTGACCACGCCCTAACAACGTGCTAGCCACGCCCTTTTGTCGGCAAAAAGTTGTCTTGCACCCCCCGAAAAGGATAGTCTTCGCTCCGCCCCTGTGCGTCTTGCGCAACGCACATGCCGATTTATTAATTTTTTAAAACAATGAGATAATTATTAACATAACAAATTATAAACCGAAGTTAATTATTAAAAGTTCGCACAGAAAAGGTGGGGTAATAAATACGCCACGAGTCTCCTTGGGTAAAGGAGGCATACCCCATCCAATCGTTACAAGGTATCAGCAGACATAGTGAGGTTAAAACCTATAAAAACAACTCCAAAGCGAAATCAGTGCGTGGATTATTACTGTCATTATTAAGCAAAAACATGATAAGCGACCGCCGACAGTTTGTGCCCATGCGTTAAACTGCCAGGGGACCGCCAACCTGCTAAAGCGAACGGTTGTGTAGAAGCCTTGCCCATGCGTTAGCTTCACAGAGAACGTAAAACAGTGATTAAATGACACGTACATTTCTAGTATCTTAACACGCACATTCCTATATTATATCAAGTCTTGCCCTTGCGTCGACTTGACAAAGTGTACTAATTACTAAACGGGTTTATCAACAAGCAGCCACAATCAATCCCTACAAAAAGCCCGACCTGTATAGTCGGAGTGTCTGATTTAAGTCACAAACTAGGAGCACGAATATACTTGCGGAAAGCGTCGGATTTCCAACGGCCCATTAGTCGTATTTGGGCATCGGAAAAACCGCATTCGGCAGCAAATGTAGCCGCGCCGATGCGAAAACTATGTCCTTTGTACCTGTTTGCATCGAGACCGCACGTGCGAAATATAATAGCTAAATGGTCTGTGAACATTTTGCGTGAAATTGCATGCCCGTCACGAGTTTGAAAAAGAGGGCCATCAGCTAAACCACGATGTGCAAAATAATCTAGTAAGCTCTGCACTGGGCATACGTCTGAACGTCGTTGAAGAGTGAGCGAGACGTTAGCTTGGTTGTAAGAATGCTTAAAATTCAAAAATGTTATTTTTAAACCGCTGACGTTGCCCGCATTATCCACGAGTTGAACGACCTGCCTCAATTGCAGTACGTCTGGTGACCGTGGACAACAAGTGATTTCGCCAACTCGCAAAAAGGCAAAAAATGCGGTCGTGCACATAGCTTTGAACAAGTACCCCCGATACTCACTCGAACATATAGTTGGAGTTTGCTGTAATACGGTGCGAAGGATAGGGAGAGTTATGGGCAAGCGTGTATCAATGCATGACCCAAGCTTACCATAGCCTTTCAACATTTCGACAATCCAAAACACTTTAGTTGGGTCATTCACCCCTGCAAGACGATGACAATATCCCAGTGCAGAAACGTACGTGTTGGCCGTCGAGGCCGCATAATTGCGTTGAAACATGTACGAAATAAATAGGCTTAAGTTGGCGGGCGATATAGGCAATGAGACTAAAGCTGAGTAAAAAACTGCACTTGAAAATTGGCTATATAGTTTCCAGACCCGGCGATAAGTAGGGACTGACGATGGCTGTAAACTAGATTGAAGTAATTTAGTTGTTAGAGCGGCCAGTTGTACGGGAGTAGTTGGGCTGGTATGACCGTTGGTGACGATTGTACACCCACCGGAGCTAGCTGTTTGAACTTCGAAACCTGCAATCGAGATAAAGCGTCAGCTAAAACATTTTTGACACCCGGTACATGGCGAGCGCGGAATAAAATGTTAAATTTCAAACAAGCCAGCACCAGTCGGCGAACAAATATCATAACATATCATAACAGTCACATCGCGTGAAGTGGCTTTATTTATAATATCGACCAACGCCGCATTATCCGTAAAAAAGGTGATACGCTGGTTTCGCATCTTATCTCCCCATACGAGTACGCTGAGTACAATTGGGTAAAATTCCAAAATCGCGATGTTTAATTGCCTCCAATTGGGGGGCCACGCACCGAAAAACCACTCATCACCGAATACAGCACCGTAGCCCAAACTACCGGCAGCATCGGTATATAGGTTTAAACTGAAGGAATCATTCCAAACATCACTGAGAAAAAACGATCGGCCATTAAATTCGTCCAAAAAGGACTGCCAGATGACCAGATCGGCCTTAACCGATTTAGTTAGACGAATAAAGTGGTGCGGGAACTTGATGCCCTTAGTCAAATCAATAAGACGGCGCAAGAAAGCCCGACCAGGGACAACTACCGAGCAAGCAAAATTAAGTAAACCAGTTAACGATTGTATTTCGCGCAAAGTAACTTTTTTGCGACGCAGAAAGCCAGATATTAGAGACTTGCATTTATCGGTCTTGTCGTCTGGTAAACGGGCTTCCATGCGCAAAGTGTCTAATTCAATGCCAGCAAAAGCGAGAATAGTTTGTGGGCCGACAGTTTTGTCCGGTGCAATTGGTATGCCTAAATATTTACAGAGAGATAAGAAGCGGACAAGGTCAATGCGACATTGGTGATAAGTAGGTGACGCCATTAGATAATCATCAAGAATGTGGATTAGATGTGGGATTTGCAAGTGTTTCTTAGCAACCCATTCGATAGCAGTGCTAAACATCTCGAAAGTGCGACAAGATGACGCACAGCCAAAGGGCATAACGCGATCATAATAATACTTCCCTTGCCAAAACATTCATACGAGATCATAATCGGATGGCCTTAACGGGATAATACGAAATGCGCTCTTGATATCAGTTTTTGCTAGGAAACAGCCGCGGCCTAATTGTTTGATCATTTTGACGGCATCATCAACACGAGCATAATGGACAGTCGAATGCTCGTGAGCAATGCCGTCATTAACAGATTCACCACTTGGAAAAGACAAATGGTGGATTAAGCGATATTCTCCAGGAGCTTTTTTAGGTACCAGCCCCAAGGGGGAAACGCGAAAATTAGGAAAGGGTGGACTGTTGAAAGGCCCAGCCAGGCGATCGACCGCTAATTCTTTCGAGAGTCTAGCACTAACTATCTCAGGGTTCCGTTGCACGGAAACGAGATTAGGACCAAAAATTGATATACGAGATCCTTCAAAATGAAGGGGAAAACCAAACTTAAAACCATTATATAAATTTAACGCCAATCGCACATCGTATCCACATAATAACGGGTAGAGATTGTCAATTAGAACCGGTGTTCGCAGTACGGGACTTGGCGGCACTTGGGGCTGAGCCAGAGGAGGGCTTTTGGCCACGAAAATTACAACGAATAGCCGGGTGAACAACACCACATTTAAAGCAGTTGTGTTTGTAGTTACACCCTAAACATTCAGCACCCCGGTGGAACTTGCGGCAAAACCCCCTAGGAACAAAGGGTCCAGCGACCGACAAGGACGAATTGTTTGAACTCGTGCGCATACTTGATTGGGGTTTGCTCAAACGCGCATGACCGAAAGTTTGTGCACGGATCCAAAGTTCCCAGTGAGTATAACCCCAAGGTAGTTCAGCCGGATTGCTTTGCCGCAAGAGACGAAATTGCGTGTCATACAAACGCCAATCAGCCCCTCGTGTGGCCAAATCCCGCACTACCTCCCCGTATTTCATTAGTATTGGGGCCTCCAAGGGATATTTTGCAGTGTAGACTCCAACGAAAATTTGAAAAGCCGAAGTCCATGCCTCGATATTGGGAATGGCCTTCGGCTTGTGTGACGGTTCTAAAGATAAAGCAGGGGGCGAGGAACCACCTTGAGAGCTCACAGACAAGTGATACCGGGTATCACCTGCCCCTGAGCTCAGTAAAACACCAAAATCTATAAATTCGTGCGCCCATATTTTTGCTTTAACTTTAGCGCTAACATTAGCATCGATGGGCACGCTAATTGAGCAAAATTTGGCGGATCCCGACCCCGCTGACGGTGAGACGTTAATAAATTCGGTCTCACCTGTTATGTGATGCAAAGCAGATGCTACCGGCCCATGCATAGTGGTAGCATCTGCTAAATTACGAATATTATCGGACCCTACAACTAGAGGTACTTCTCTCTGTTCTGGTTCCATGGACGGAGGTGCCGGGAGAGTTGGTTGACTTGCCCCAAACGACGCGATGACGGCCTGTGACACAGCCGAGACAATTCTCTGCATCGCTTTCTCGGAGAGATCAGGCGGTGTGATGTTCGGCGACGCGGATGGTGTAGCAGCCATGGCAGGCGATGTTTCGACCCTGGCTGCACTGGTTGCAGTTGTAGATGCTGCTGTTGTCCGACGACGCCGCGAAGAGGCACTAGGTGCTGCTGCTGCTTGAGCTCGGCGCTGGACACGTGTACTTGGGCGAGTTGCGGGCATTCTAAAAGGAAAATGTCAGAACGCAGACAGGCAGAATTGGGTTTGGCCAGAGTTTGCTGGTTGCGTCTGGTGAAGCGATTCGTGATATCGTTGTATATTTGTATAGCTATAAATGTATACGCAAAACGTGAACAAACAACGCGGCGGAATAATCATGGCATACAGCGAAGGTAGCTGCAAAAGATCATCCTTAAGAATTGCTGCAATATCTACCAAATGTAAACATCGCAAAAACAAACAACGCGGCGGAATAATCATGGCATACAGCGAAGGTAGCTGCAAAAGATCATCCTTAAGAATTGCTGCAATATCTACCACATTAAACATTGACAAACAAACAACGCAGCGGAATAATCATGGCATACAGCGAAGGTAGCCGCAAAAGATCATCCATTAAGAATTGCTGCAATATATAAAAACGGGCAATCTGAAAACATCATGCTGCACCGTCCCACAATATATTGATTTCAACTGTGGGCATCTGAAAACAATAAATTGCACTATCCCACTTAGACATGCATTTTTCCAAACACAGGATCAGCCCGTCATATATACCTAACATTAAATATCAGCACGGCACAAAGCAAGTACGAGGACATATACATACATGTACGTTAGCTGAACAAAAGACTTAACAGACTACGATAGGGAAACACATTCTATATACGTATATATAACCAGCTCGATAATCATGAATATGCCCTGTGCAGGAAAAATCCAATGTTGAAATCTCAACGTGGGCATCTGAAAACAGTCATGTTGCTCTAGCCGATAATAATATAACAAATATAAGCATAATATATATCAACACCAAGTACTGAGAGGATATATACTGCATAATCAAAAAGTGTGACAAAAGATGCCCTCCACAATTTAGGGCGTTGTCAATACAAAAAGCAAAATTGATCAGAAACAACAGTACAAAACGGGGTTCACGGGTTACAAAAGTTTGAGAGCTTTCAAGATAGCCCCACGATAACTCCGATACAAACAGTACTGTCCTTGGGCATTACAATGCACGCCATCGGAGGATAGCAATGCACGATCGGTTCGAAAAAATTCCCGATGATCCCAAGTAAAAATCCCATCTTCCTCAGCAAGGACCACGGACAAATATTGCCGCAAAATAGCGGCATTGGCATTAAAACCAAGGTCGGGTCCTTGAGCAAAAGGAATATTGCGGTTTATAACCTGGCACACCCCAACAACCCGAACGTTGTATGTGTGCCTTAAAGCATGCACAAGGTCGTCGATTTTAGACCCCACCACCTTGGGGGCGTGGGTCGACAAATCGTTAGTCCCAAGCTCCAAGATTACAATATCGGGCTTATACTTATGCACCGATTGCAAATCGTATTTAACGACCTTTTCGACGGTTCGGCCACCCGTCCCTAACAAATTAATATAGCCCGATTCTGGGAGATGAAAATTAGAAGCCGCACGTGTATCAAAGTGCGCATCTAAATCATCTCGCAAACGACGGACAAAAGAATGACCGAGAATTAAAATACTTGGGACACAACTTGACATGATAAAAATATCGGAGAAGGAAAAAATAATAGGAATACCTTATCGATTATTTGTATCAATTGACTTCAGCCAGAGAGTTGACCTTGCGCGACCAGATTGAAGAGTAGAATGAACTGATGCACATATTGCTGTAGATTATATCACCACTCCTATCCACTTCCTGCGCATTACATTCATGTGACTACAAATTATCGGGGCTAATACCCCCGTGTCCCATTACAATAGCTCCCTATCTCTAAAACTAGATGCAGGAAGCAATAAAATCTTTATTGGTATGCCAATAATTCCTTTATTTGCATTGGATTAAATGTCTTACAGACATGATCCCGGCATTATAAATCCCACTCAGTGTTTATATGATCCGGCTTCTATCCCCAAATGCTGAGATGCCCACTAGACGGGAGGAGAAATTCCCATATAAAACCTTCAATCTGCCTAGCTGGGACAAGAAATCAGAAATATAAGGCTGGGTGGGACCTTTCAACCTTTGCCTTCTTAGCATGCTTGATATGATGTGAAGCATTTAACTTACTTCATCTCGGCAATGTTTTTTAGTCGTGTTTACACTAACAGTCTTGGCCTTGCCTTGGCCTACATTTTGACAGTGTAAACAGATTTTGACCTAGCCTTGGCCTGACCTAGGCCAGGAAACCTGGGCCTACTACAACCGGTGGCCTAGGCTTGTGGAAATGTAAATACTTTCGGCCCTGGCCTGGGCCTTATTTTCATGGCAATGTGTGTGCACAGTGAGGGTGTAACCAACACTTTATGTAATATTGAGGGTACAATATTAACCAGCCTTCCTCTAACCATCCTACTACACTGTATTTGTTAATTAGACAGCAATCTTTTGGAGAATCCCCCTTTGCCCACTCTACTGCTGCATGCTTTAAGGGAGGCGGGTAGTCCAATAATGGCTGACTGCTGCAATTGTTACTGAATTTAGATAAACAAGTGGCTACAGTATCTAATTATTCAAAGTATTTTCCCAAGGCTAGGGGCTGAACAATATATGTTTTCCAAAATGCCTGTTATATTACACATTTTAGAAAAAGAACTCAGAAAAAGGATTCTTCACTTTGTCTTTCACTGAAAAACGACTACAGTCTCCTACCGCTCTCAACGAGAAAGGAAATATAAATGGTCCTGAGAGAATGGCCAGAAGAAAGATACAAGAAACCAGTGAAGTAGCAATGAAAATCCATGGAGGAACTCCAAGTAATATGCAACCTGCTTACTTTGGTCTTTTTGCAACCCTATCTAATGGGGCTTCAGCTAGCACACTAACTGATATGTTTTACAAATCACCTACTGTAATGACAAAAGTTATTCCTAATGTTGTAAATGAAAAGGTCAAGGCTTTTGAAAATTCTAAAACCAATTTTGTTAGAAGCGTAAACGTGCTTTACAGGAATGGCCTTGTAAGCAAGGAGAAATACATTAGCATTAGGTCAGCATTAAGCATGAATAATAAAGAAAATAGTAATTCTAAGTCGCACACAGAATTTTTGTCAAACTGTAATGTTCCACGCATACTTCCGTACAAGGAATTGATGTATAAGATCAAGGGCATAGATATAGGTAATTTGTATGACCTCAACGAACAGTTTTGTACCGGTCTAGGCAATGATGACCATATAGAAGGTAAGTACAGGGATTTAACCGAGTTGCTTTTAAGGTTGACCCAGTTTTACTTGAAAGTCAATGAACACAGACTTGATAAGCTTATTTGGTATAACAATAAGCAAGCAGGTCACTTCAATGTTGCCATTGGGGGTGACGGTGCTCCCTTTGGTAAGGATGACTCGGCATTGGCTTGGTTGGTGAGTTTTCTTAATTGCGGTCATAGAATTTCTAGCCGCAATGAGAACTTTCTTCTTCTAGGGGCAAATTGCTCAGAGGATTGTGAAGCTATTAGACGCTATGTTCTAAAGCTATCGCAAGACATCAAAGAAATCGAAAAGAAAACATACTCGGTTTCGGTTGATGGTCAATTATGGAATGTATCTTTCTCCTTTGACATGTTTCCAAACGACATGAAATACATAGCTTTTCTTGCTGGAGAGCTTTCAATTTCTGCAACATATTTCTCACCTTTCGCAAACGTTAAAAAAGCTGATATATGTGATACAAAATCTACTTTCGGGGTTGAGCCTTCACATAAGTGGAAGCCTTGGACCTACTAAGCAAGGATCAAGGTTGCATCAGCTGTTGCAAAAAGGAAACAAGAACTTTCACATTCCTCTCTGAAACCGACTACTTTTAGAAATAAGGTAACAACATTCATTGCCAAGAAAGGGTCTCGGACAGAATTTCCACCTCTGCTGGGTGAAGCGATTGACCGAGTAAAGGCTGAACCACTCCACCTTAAGAATAATGCATGGCAACAATGGCATGCATTGATTCTGAAATATGCCATAGCTCGAACCAATTTAAGTGGTTGTGAGAATGTTAGTGATACCCCTCTTTCAAGCTGCTTTAACCAGTACTATGAAGCTCTGAAGTGTGTCTTAAAAGCCACAAGACTTGCCAAAAAGGTCAGAAAGTG